GCATCTCTACAATAATCAAAAAATCAGCCGGGCGTGGTAGTGCGTGCCTGTAATTCCGGCTACTCGGAAGGCTGAGGCGGAAGGATCGCTGGAGCCCAGCAGGTCGAGGCTGCGGTGGCTGGGAGCGGCCACTGCACTCCAGTCTGGGCGCCAGAGTGAGACTCCAACTCAAAAAACAAAACAAAACAAAACAAAAACTTAACTCTTTGTTTTTCAGTAAGCAAAAAGATAGAAAAGTGTTTTTAGTCAATTGTGTTTCAGAAATTCCTATAAAGAAAGACTATCTTTCTAGTCTGTCCTAGACTTTTTTTTTGTTTCAGTGCAAAACTTCGATACCATTGTTTTACCTAGGTTTTAGTCTGGTAAATGATCTTTTATTTGTAAGTAGGTTTTGTATACTAAAAATGTCAGAACACTAAAAACACTTGAAGATGCAAATAGTTTAGTTTATGCCCTATCTTGTCTCCTTGTATTTTACTCAGTTTTGTTAGCTTTTCTTTTTGCCAACCTAAGCTTCCTTCTTTAACTAAAAAATACCTGGTTGTTTGGGTAGAAGACTCAATTTTGATATGTATTTTGGGAGTTAGTTTGTGTTTATAATTCCAGGTTTCTTCAGCAATTTATGAAGCTGCTATAAATTATATAAAATTATACTCATAATATTGCAACAATAAAAGATGTTGTGTATAGGGGAATAATCTTGTCGAATGAATAAAAAATGTTTAAATGGAAGATAACTTATCTTTCTTTTTTTTTTTTTTTTTGAGCTGGAGCCTTACTCTGTCACCCAGACTGGAGTGCAGTGGCATGCTCCTGGCCACCGCAGCCTCAACCTTCTGGGCTCTGGCAATCCTTCTGCCTCAGCCTTCCAAGTAGCCAGAATTACGGGTGCGTGCTACGACGCCTGGCTAGTTTTTGATTTATTGTAGAGACGAGGTCTCACCAACTTGCCCAGGCTGGTCTCGAACCCACGGGCTCAGGCAATCCACTCACCTTGGCCTCCCAAGTACTGGGATTACAGGCTAGCCACCGAGCCCAGCTGTCTTTTTTTTTTCCTCTCTCTCTTTTTTTTTTCCATTTTGGTAACACTTTGCTCTTGCCAGTCATATTTACTTAGCACCAGAGCTGAGTGCTGACTGTGTAAGTGACCAGTGTTTTCTCAAAAAAATCAAGATGATCTTACCATTGCGTCCAGTTTGGTTTTTCTGCCTGCAAAGATCTCTAGTACTAGGTCAGTGTCCCAAGTATAGAAAACTGACGGTTGCTACAGGCAGTTTGACTTTTTCTTCCCAGTTTAAACTACCCCTGCTGTCTCAGACATACCTTCTACTTACAATCAATTTGTCTGATTTTGTTTATTAGTACAAAGAACTGTGCTTCAGGTAACTTTTTCCTGAGTTGTGGGGTTTTTTTCGCTTGTTTGTTTGTTTTGTTTTGTTTTTCCTGCCACCTCCCTCACCCATTTTTTTTTTTTTTTTTTTTTTTTGCAAAAGCACTTTACCTTATTTACCTTTAGGCTCAGGCCAAGTCCTGCTGTGTGTCATGCTTTTTATCTTTACACTCTGAACTTCTAAAGCAATTAAAAATAAATCATCTACCCTATCCAGCACAGAGGATCTGGCTTTTAAAGGGCTTTCAAAGGAAATAGGCCCTGTTGCTCTGCCAGTGGGCACCACTGGATCTACACTGGAGGCTGGAGCCGGAGGTGGGGTGTGGCCGGAAGGTGCTACCATGTCTGGTGAGAGCCACTTCTTGTTCTGTTGTCAGACAAGGGCAGCAGTTGTTTCTGTTTTCTTAGCTATACTTTAGGGGCTGAGTTCAAGTTGATTAGGATTTAGATGTAGCTTCCTCCAGAAGAAGAGTTTGGCTCTCATCAGCCTCTCTCCCAACCCCCTCTGTTCTTTCTCCAGCCTACTTGCACCTTTCCTTTTTCTTCCTTCCTTTTTGTAAAACATATTTTTTGAAAACAAGAACAGGGAGATTAAAATCAGTACGCAGGTGGTCATGAGTGGAAAAGGATCTCCTAGCCTCAAATGGGAGGGAAGCAAAATGGGAAGCTCCACACAAGCAGAGGGCTCCTGACTGACACAGAGAGAGAGAGAGAGAGAGAGAGAGAGAGAGAGAGAGAGACAGAGAGACAGAACGAGCATGTGTGTGGTGGAGGTATATGTGTGGTTTGGGCTCCAGTCTTCTCCTCCTGCAGCCACCATCACCTCTGTGTCATCCCCTCGTGGCCAGCAGGTCTCCCAAAAGCCCAGTCAGTTCTTTCTGAAAGGTTCTGCCGGCAGATGTTGGCATCTGGAAAGTAAGGCAAATAATTGAAAACTGTCTGCTAGGGACCTGGGGCAAATGTATGCAAAGCCGCATGCAGGTGAAAGCCCGTTAAAATCCCAAATGGATGCCTTGCCTATATAAACTACTTTGTTACATATGATATGTATTGGTTATGTAAAAAGGAGATGAAAAGTTTGAAGGACATCAGCAGCTACGTTCACATTAGAAGCTATAATCTCAAATTTTAGATGGCTAAATACACTTAGATAAGCTCCTTTCCATCAGAAGGAAGCTAAAAACTGTAGCCGAAATGTGTGCTTGTGTGTCTATACAATGTCATCAGTGTTCTCCCTGTGGACAATTAACATTTATATGAGTATGAGGAGATGGTGAAGAGACTGAGACAGACAGGCTGACTTTTGATGTCTTGCTCCATAGACAGGATCATATGATTAAGGTTTCAGACTTTTCATATGACAGAGTGGGAGAGTGTCCATGTGAGGAGAGGGTGTATCTGTTTTAACAGACATTTAGAAATTATTGCATTTTGCATAAATAAATAATACTTGGGCTCAAATATCAGAATATGCTATGAAGTATGAAAAAGGACTAAGTTGGGTGTTGAGGTTCATCAGTGAAAGTTCTTTTTAATTTATATTGGAAAAGATAAAGGGTGGGTGACAGAGATCATTTTGCTTTGAATGCTTTGATTGACTTTGATGTGTTTCATGTGATATCGGAGAACAGGATAGAGAAACCAAAGTTTGAGTTTCACTGTAGCCACCAGACTCCAAGTAGACTTCTGCAGCATTTGGCACTTAGTCTTCTGCCATTTAAAAATAAGTCAAAGTTCAGATGCTTAATATTTTCATGGATGATGTTTGAAGCACAACATATATTGTTGCTCCTTTGCTTACTTGTGTTTTTTCCCTTCCCCTCTTTGTTGCAGTGGCATGCTCTCTCCCGTGAAGAGCAGGCGAAATATTATGAATTAGCACGGAAAGAAAGACAACTTCATATGCAGCTTTATCCAGGCTGGTCTGCAAGAGACAATTATGTAAGCCCCTTTTCCACACTGACGTCTCTTTCCCTTTTCACCCATTCTTTCTTCTGTCTGCTTTCCAGAAGGAAATGTATTTTAGGGTATATATAAAATGCTGGTACTATGTACTATTTTTGGAAGCTAGTGAACTTTGTAATAAAGATTTCATGGATATATTGCATTATGAAAGCTTTGAACTGTCATAGTGTTTTTGTTTTTTGCTATGAGTGCTAATGAATTTTTAATAAAGTTTTTTTAAATAAAAAAGTAATGCTTTATCATTAAAATGTTGGTAAAAATATTTTTAAAATGAAAGAACGCATAATCTCACCATGTAAAGACAACATTTAGTAATAGTTATTTACATTGCCTTCTATATTTTTTCTGTGCATTTTTAAAAATTTATTTTTTACTTGAATATATGTGTACATGTACTTTTATGTCATGCTTTTTGCTCTTATGTATAAACATTTTTCTGTTATGGCTTAGTGTTTCTATATATCAGTATTCTGTTGAGCGAATGTCACAATTTACTTAATCATTTTTTCCTGCTTTTAGACATTTAAGTTCCTATCTTGTTTCTTCTTACAAATGCAAAAAATCTTGCAGTGAACATGTCTGTGCATAACAGTTTTTCCTTTATTTAGGACTATTATTTCTGTAAGATAGGATCATAGTAGTGGAATTTTTGAGCTAGAGGATATAAATATTTTAAAGTTATTGATACATATTTTCAAATTGCTTTCCAAAGGATTGTATATTTTACACTTCTTATACACAGTGTATTCCGGTGTTTTGTTTTTGCCACCAACTAATTAGAAATGGGTTAAAAAAATATCATTTTTCATATTAATGTACCCTAACATCTACTATGTGTTTTATTCTAGGGTAGGTAGTATCATGTTTAAGCAATACTACTTTTATTGGCAAGAAATGCCTCGCTTTTATTACCAGTTCTTTTATTGCAGTAGAATTTGAGCATCTTACTAGTGTAGTCTTGATGAGGCAAAGGCTATTTCTGAAAAGGTATATTATAAGTAATATATTTGAAGTTTTATCAAATTTTATGAGGGGAATAGTTTTGACTACGCTTTTAAAATAATTTAAAATTGTGAAGGTCATTGCTGCTTTAGTTCATTCAGCCTGCTATAACAGAATACTGGGTAGTTCATAAGTAACAGAAATTTATTTCCCAAACTTCTGGATTCTAGAGGCTGGGAAGTCCAAGATCAAGGAGCCAACAGGTTTGGTGTCTGGTGGGTGCCTTTCTGGGTCTTCCTGCTGTGTCCTAATATGGCGGAAGGAATGAGGAGCTCTCCAGTGTCTCTTTTATTAGGGCAATACTCCCATTCGTGAGAGCTCTTTGCTCATACTCTAATCACCTCCCAATGGCTCCACCTCATTATACCTTTACATTGGGGACTAGAATTGTAACATATGAGTTTGGGGGGACACAACATTCAGTCTATAGTAATTCTCATGTTCCATGTGAGACTAGTATTAGAAATGCCAGCCAGGCCAGTCTTACTTAATATAAGTGGAATTATTTCTTTAAAAAAGGACCGAGTTGAAGCCATTACTCAATCTAAAATTTAATATGCAGCCGTTGCTGTAGCTGCTCCTATTAGGCTCAAGTTCCCACAGAGATGATGACAGGGATGCCTGTCTGAGGTGATAGGCACATGTAAACTTATTTCTGGAAAAGAGTTGCCAAACATGTTTCCTGTAATGTGCTCCACAGAAGAAGTCCCTGTACTGTTAGGATTTGGAGCTTAACATTGGATACAACATGACACAGGAAGTAGGAGTACTATTATTTGTTATTTCTGAGCAACAGTACTGTCAGCTCTTCTGAGCTGTTGTTTTGGTTGTCTTAATAACTACCACATGGGATTGCCAGGAACTCTCTTAGATTCTTTATGTATTATTTTCTAATCGTTACAACAATCCAGTGGCATGAATACTATTATTCCATTTTCCAGGTGAGGAAATTGAGAGGTCAAAGAGGCTAAGTAATTTGTCCAAGGCCATGTAGTAGGTGGCTAAGCCGCAATTTACATCTAGGTTGCTCTGACTTCACAGTCTACGTGGTTTCCCTCCTGAGTGGATTAGCTCAGTCTTCCAGTGCCTTAAGAAAACTGCTGTAGTTGACGGATTTTTGCCCCTGAACTCGGCTTCTGTTCTCTGAGCAGTAATTACCATCCCACTATAGAGCTTTCGTGATGCCCTTTGAGTGGGAAGATCAATCTCCCACCTAAAAGGTTTCAAAGTGTCATCTTCTAATCCTGTCATAGATGTCTTTTGGATGCTTTGTCTAAATGGAGAGAGCTGATCTTCGTTCTCTGTCTTATGGAAGCTTTGTTGGGCTGTGAATTTTATTTAGCATTGCTTGTTGAATGTCTTTAAATTTCTTTTTCTGAATCTTAAGTGGTGAATTTTAACTTTTAAAAAGACATAAAAGAAGCACCAACATATTCTTCCCCCACCCTTCTCTATTTTGCTCTCTCTTCTCCATGTGGGAGGGTGGGAAGAAAGCAGTTTTTTAAAAAAAACTAGTGTAGTATGAATTTGTCTTTAAATATTTTTCCCCCGCACAATTCTTAAAGAAAATGGTTTGCATGTTTCTTGACTGAAGGGAAAGTCCTGCTATGCTCATATCACTTTTATAATAATTGAAATAAATCTATCAATTACTGAAACAAGCAGAAGTCAATCAAGTGCTAGCATTTTAGCTCAATGCATTGTTTTTAACATAACAGCAATGTGCAGGAATAGAATATAAAGATAAAAGCAAGGCATTTAGTGCCAAAATGCTATCCTGATCCTCAATGAGATCATATTAAGTATATATCTCAGTAATTTGATGTTAAAATGTCCTATTCTATGGCATCATAGATTTTAGAGTTTCAGTTTGTTTTCATAAATTTGGCTAGTAACTGAAGTTTTCATGAATCAACAGTACACACATTTTCTTGGGTGAGATTAGCCAAATATTTGTATTATTAGAGCTTTTAAATTTAGTTTTTAATGTTTCCCAGCATTATGTAGTCGATATAATTTTAATGAAAAATATTTTTTGTGTTTACCACACATGAATTTTGTTTTTTGTACAACTTGACATTAATATATCCAAACTACTTAGTTCTTTTTGTTGACCACAAATGTAGGTTCTCTTGAAACATTGGTTGATACCTAGAATATAAAATAGGTTATTCACTTAGGTGGTAGAAGTATAACAACTCAGGTCAGACAGTCACTACAGGCTGGCTATGTTTTTGGCATGTTAAGGGGAGAGAGGTGGTACTGAGAGGTCCAGGTGGTGCTCTGGGGACAGAGCCTCCTACTGTGAGGGGTTAGGTCATGGTGAGCTCAGAGTCATGGAGGAGCTTGGAAAAGGAACCCCAGCTCTGCCTGAGGGGGGAGGGAAGTGTGGAGCACAGAAGGATCATGTGAGAGAGGATGCTTGAGATGTGTGTTGAAGGGCATATGAGAGCCAGGGAGAGAAGAAAGTGTGGGATAAGGTTCCAGACACTTGAAACAACCTCGTAGCAACTGCTGAAACTGCAGTAATTCTATTTGAAAAGAAGATGGTGGATGCCTGCAACAAGCATGCACTCCTTCTGTTTGCACCCCGCCCCCCACCGCCGAGCACCTTTAATAATCTTCAAAGAAGACTCCATTATTTTTGACATGCCATTTCCCAAGATCACTGACATCTGCTGTTAGCCTCAGTGTTTGGGAGGATGATTTCAGTCAACCTTCTAAAGCTCTAAAGCCTCAGTGGCTGTGTCAAGAAGAAAAATTATCTTTAGGTATATAAATATATATATACTTTTAGAGAGTCACAAAATGTATTCAATAACCTCATAGTTTTATTTTTTTATTATTTGTTAATGTGATTATTACAGCAGACATAAGATAGAGATATTGGATATGATATGTATTCTGTTATAGTGATTTGAAAATATTTAATGTGAGCTGATCATTTACTATAAGTGAACTGTGGCTAGATCCTATTAAATTATTTTTGAGAGGAAAATAGTTACTTAGGAAAATGGCAAATTAGACCACTATAAATGGGAACTAAATTTTTTAATTTGGCATTGAGATGATTTTGAAGTGTATTTAAAATTGGATGCATATTCATGTTATTGTGTCTGTCTCAGGAAGGTCATTAACTGCTGGAAATAAGTCTTCAAAATTATATTTAGTTCTGTGTCATCCTTCCTCTCTCCTAGGTTATGTCACGTCTATGCCACAAGAGCCGTGGGCACTCAGTCAACACTGTGAAACTTTTAATTATACAGTGGAATTCACAATAAGTTTTATCTTGAACACTATCAGAAGTAGATTCTAAGTGCAGTGGTTAGTAAGAAAAGGAACGTCTCATTAAGCTGACTTCCTTGAAGAGGGTTCTGTGGCCATAGCCGTACAACATCATTGTGTGTGTGTGTGTGTGTGTGTGTGTGTGTGTGTGAGAGAGAGAGAGAGAGAGAGAGAGAGAGAGAGAGAGAGAGTGTGTCAGTATTGATGATGTTAAGTATGAAGCTATGGAGACAAAGGGCACAAAGAGATCACTTATTTTCTCTTTCTCTTGCTCAATGACTTTGTTTCTAAATACAGACAGTGAGGAGAGAGAGAGAGAATGAGTTGTCTTTACCTTTTTGTTGACCACCTGCCTATATTTCCTGTCCCATTAACTCGTGTATTCATGGTACAATCTATGACATGACAGTGTGCCTTTCTTCTTCCAGGGTAAGAAAAAGAAGAGGAAGAGAGAGAAACTACAGGAATCTGCATCAGGTAGGCACCATGTGACTTTCCAGTCACTCCTCAGGCTTCTGATAAACACCTTTTAAAGCAGTTTGCATCTTCTACACACTGCTTTCTTCTGTGGCTATAACTTGTGATTCTTGAACTCTGCTTTTCTTCCTGAAATTCTTTTAAAATTTTAAAAAGACTTTTCTTTTAAATGTGACTATGTGAAGGTACATGTAAAAACTCTTTTCCAAACCCTGTCACTTGGAATCCTGGTGGTGAACTTGTGGGGTGTTTTTTGTTTTTATTTTTGCTTCAGTTATCTGTGTTCTCTTTGCTTTAAACACTTTGGCTTTTTTTCTATTTGCCTAACTAATTTAAAGTATGATTTTTTATGACGATTATGTAATATGCGTCCTTGTATCCCCTTGAGAATCTCTTCTGTGATTTGAGATTTTAAAAATGTAAAGCATAGTGATAGGGTTTGTCTTTCTCATACATTAATTCAAGGCATCAGTAAGGTCCCATGTATTTTCCCTTTTTCTTTCATTAAAAACAAGGCCACTACTTATACTGCACAAATAAAAATGGCTGGTATAAGAACCATAAAAAGTAAAGTGAACAAGTCCACATGATGTTGTAGCTACTACGTATTTGGAATGTACAAAAACCTCTTGAATAAAAATTTGTTAAAGACACAATTTTCTGCAGGTACAGGTCCAAGAATGACAGCTGCCTACATCTGAAACATGGTAAGAACGACTCTCTGGTCCTACTGCTGACATTAGTTATAAAAAGAGGCACTTGCTTGTGAATCTTCTTGCTCACACTGATTCCAACCAGCATTGCTCCTTAGAGAGGAAAAACGCTACCAAAATCAAATTGGTGCTTTTAAAAATCTGATGGTTTTTATACCGGCTATGTATTTGCAATATAGTGTGCTTTTATCTTTTCTGTCTTTTTTGTTTCATTTATTCTTTCTCCGTTCTCTTTCCCCTAACTCTTTCTTCTCAATCCTTTCTTACTGACCAGTGGCAAACCTGCCTGTTTTAAAAAAAACAAAGAGCAAATGACAACAAACAGCACAATGCCGCCTTACTCAGCAAACCCATGATGGGTTTGAGAAATACCGTCAAGCCCAAGACTCAATGTTTTTGCTCTGTAGAGACTTTGTCTCAATTGGAATGACATGTAAACATTTCAAATAATTTATTTGCTTCTAGTGAGAAAGATACACATGCTTTTTTTCCCTCCTTATCATTATTTAAAAATATGTCATGGGCACTTACATGGTTAACTGTATTTCTCCTATCAATTATTTTTCCTCATTGGTAACCATTGCTCAGTTTCATCTAGTTTTTATAGGTAATGTTTATTTTATTTCTTTCTACTGTAATTATTTTCGTTTCATCCATGTGACCACTAGCCCAAGAACCTGGCTTTGTACATTAAGGCTTGGTCTTTATTAAGCTGTGAGTTCAGCATGTCTGCATCTTCCTCTGGTAACAGTTCTTTTCAAGGGAGTTATACTTTTGATTCTCCTCTCTTTCTAGGAAGCCACATTCAGTCAGTCACCAAGTCCTGTCAGCCCTGCCTTTGGGGTCTGTGTTGAGTCTTTCCTCTCACACTCATCATTGCTACAGCCCTAGTTCTGGTACTCAGACTTCCCATCTGGACTATTATAATAACCGTGGAATAATTTTTTCTACCTCCGGACTTTCTTCCTACCAGTTTATCCTCCATGTTGCCCCAGAGGGATTTTCTAAAACACAAGTTGAGTGTGTCACTTCTGAAGCAGTCAGTAGTTTTCATTGCTGATGGATAAAGTACACGACCCCAAGTGTGGATCTTCCCTGTCCCACCCTCATGGTTGGTCCTTTGGTCATTCTTGCTCTCTGCCTTTCTTCACTTCCAGCCCAGCCCAGCCCTCATAAGTCCTGCAGTCAGTCTGCACAAGATTATTAGCAGTTCCCCACGTAGATGAATGGGGCTACACATGCTGTCCTTGTGCTTAGAAAGCCTGTTTCCAGCTAGGCTTGGTCACTCAACCTGTAATCCCAGCATTTTGGGAGACTGAGATGAGCGGATTGCCTGAGCATGTGGGTTTGAGACCAACCCGGGCAACTTGGCAAGACCTCATCTCTACAATAAATTACAAAAATTAGCCAGGCCTGGTGGCATGCATCTGTAGTTCTGACTACTTGGAAGGCTGAGGTGGAAAGATCGCCAGAGCCTAGCAAGTCGATGCTGAGGTGGCCATGAGTGTGCCACTGCACTCCAGCCTGGGTGATGGAGTGAGACTCCAACTCAAAAAAAAAAAAAAAAAAAAGGAGAGAGAGAGAGAAGAAAGCCTGCTTCTTATTGTGCAGTGCAGCTTAGAAGACCATCAGCTTACAAGGCATTTGGCTCTTGACCAAACCAGGTGACTCTTACCTAAACTTTCAGAACTTAATTTTTGTGCTGATATTTCAAGCAACTCCCAGAGGAGCCAGCAGATATTTTGGTCACAAATAGACCTGAATTTTAAACCAGCTGATTGCCTGAGCATTCTACTTCAGCTTTTTAGTCTTTTCCTCACCTGTAAAATGAGAATAATGATATCTGCCACTTACAGTGGTTTGTGTGTAATTTGTGCTAGCTGCTGGCACACAGTTGGAGCTCAAAAGTTCCTTTCTCCTACTGACTGACACCTAAGTCAGTTGCCCTCTGCTCTGTGAAACTTTCTTGATCTTTACTCAGGTTGCCCAAGTTTTTCAAAATCCCAAAACTCTTCTAAATTAAAACTGAGTGTCAGGCTTTTCTCCAAGTGAAAGGAAGAACAATCCCTTTAAATAAGTGATCAGAAATAGTATAATCAGTTTAAACTTGATGACTGTAATTCGGGGAACTCTTCTGGGCCGGCCACCCGTCTTGGTTATTAGGAATGCAAGTATGACTTCATGATAGCCCGTTTCCTTTAGAAGCTCATGGCATCATAGTAGATAAATTTGGTAAATCTGGTAAAAAGCACAGGCACATGCTTTGTGTGTTTTTTAGAAGAACGTTGTCCTTTTATTTACTGAACACTTAGAAATGGCTAACAGTTTTGTTGTTGCTGTTGTTTTCATGTTCTGCTTTTAAAAAGAAAGGCCTCAGAAGTGCAGTGTGCTGAGGGCTGGCACTTGAGTTATTCTACTTCTGTTTGCATCCAGATCTTTAATACTATTTCTATTAAAAATCATGCAAAAAATATGTTACTGTACTTCAGTGTTTGCTACTTGATTTGAAGTTCTTCATGATTAACATTATGTGATATTTTTTAAAATCATGAGACTACATCTATTTTTGTCCTAAAATGTATCCTAAACATCTCTTTTAAAAATAAGTCACAGCTGTCATTGTGCCCTCTTGTCGTTTATATTTTCTAAGAATTAAGGTATTCCCTCTGTCCTGTACATGAAAAACAACAATAAAGTTCCTTTCCCCAAATTCTTATGAGGCCACTCCTCCAGCCTCCCTCTGGGCGAGGCTCTGTTTGGTTGTGCTCCACATCATCAGTCTCTAGCATGACTCCTTTCTGGATCAGATATGTGACCTTTGACGTTCCTGCCCTCCACACTGCCCTAGTTTGGAGAGCAGAACTGGCAGTCATCGGATAAGAATTACAGAGCAGAGAGATCAGATTTGCATTCACAAAGATATCAGTAAATTAGGAATGATAATATTCCTGTTGTTCCTCCACCTCTTGCTTTGTCGTAGGAATTTAGACTTCTGTATGTGTAATAACTGATTTGCTCAGTCGCCATTCAGCATTTGTCAAGCACCTGCTACACGCCAGGTGTAGAGACTTACAGAAAACCTGGAAATGCAGTGTTGGATAAGGCAAGGAAGGTCCCTACTCTCAGTGGTTATTACGTTGCTGTGAAGGCAGTTTAAGAAATATATAAACAGGAAATAAATGTGCTATAATAAAAGTAAAACAGTAACTTGGGAGTTTGTTTTAGGTTGGGTGGTCAAGAAAGGCTTCTCTGAGGAGGCAGCACTTTTCTGGAATAACTATTGTTATTCCAGAAAAATAGAGGGGATTTCTGCTCTGGAACAGAGCCTCGGCAAAGAGATGAAAGGCAAGGGAAACAGAGTGGAAAGAGCACAGAATAGGCATGAGCCCGCCCAGTCTCTCAGATTAGTCGCCATAAATTGTGTGGCCTGGGGGGGCAGGTCACTTAAAGCCTCTGGAGGGACCTCTGGTTTCTTGGGTGTGAATGAAAAGATTGTACACAGTGTCCTTTAAGATCTCTGTCTACCACTCCCTGAGTGCAACGTTCTAGCCTGCTTTGCTCTTGCATGGTCTGCACTGCCTCCCAGTGTTATAAAAGGGACTTGGATCTCTTTATTTACAGATTGGTAGTCATTGTTCTATGTGCGAGTGGTTCTGTAAAACTGTAAAGCACCTGTACGATCTTGAAAATGACTTGCATATGCCATGGTCATTCCTCAGGTCCTGTGCAGATCATACCCATGCCACCTACCTCCCCACAATGACTGCCTGGTGTCCTGGGACACAAGAAGCATTACTTCTGGTTTGGGGACTTGATTTTCCACCGATATGATTGTATGGCTCCTTGTTTGCCAGACTACAGTCACACCAGCACTGACCTCACCTTAGAAACAAGCCAAAGACAGGCTACCTATTTGATTAGAACCAGTCCTGCAGAGTGTGATGTGACATCTCACACAGCTGGGTTTCGATTCTGCAAGGAAGTTACTGAGTAAAATTAAAGCTAAGGTTGCCTGGCCCTGGCAGGGAAGTATCTCAGCTCCCTCCCTGCAAGGAGGGTGTTTTTGGGGGGTTGTTTTTGGTGGTTTTTTTGAGAGAGTTTATTCCTCTTATGTACACAGCAAAACTTAACACTATTTTGTATCCTTAAAGAAAATCCTATTAAATTAGAAAGATATTTGAGCTCAGACCTCCATGGTATGTAGCTCAGATGCTAGAAAAGTCTTACTCTTGGCACTAGTGTGGGACAAACTATAAGGCATAGCCACTAATAAGGAAAAGACTTTTCTCAGTGAACAGAGAAGGCCTGGAAAAATTTTTTTTTCCACTCCTCAAAAGACGTGTGGGTTTCATCTAGCACTCTCATTGTTCTGGTGGGAAACAATGTTGCAGTTGTCTCATGCAACCCAGCAGTTCCTTGAACACCCAGCTGTATTCCTGCCTCCCCTGTGTTTCGACTTCAGTGCATTATACAAATATTCACTCTGGTGACATCAGATTGAAACAAAGAAATTGTTGCTAACCCAGTCTCAGCACTGTGGAACAACTTTTGATAATTGGAAATGAGATCTCTGAAACTATTCCTTCAGGTTGTGATCCCCAAGCTGTGGGATCTTTGGAGGAAGCCAAATTCATCCTTTAAGCTTATGGGACTAACTTGTCATTTGTGGGAATTCTGGGAGTCCAGGGTCTCAGGGGATGAGGCTGCACACATTCTTCCATGCCCAGTTGAAAGGCCCGTGTCATTAAATACCATCGTTTGCTTATTCACTTCACAAACATCCCATGAGGACTCTTAAAAGTCAAGAACCGATTATGCAGTTATGGCTACTTGCTAAAAATAAGACTCTGCTCCTTTCTGTAGGCGCTTCCAGTTTAAGAAGATACAGACATATATATGGGTAATTATAAAATAATACGTTTTATGCTGCAAAGGGGTTGCATACAGTACACTCTATAAAAATAAAGAGAACAACAAATATTTAAAAGAGAGTG